GAAAGAATTAGATATTTTATGTCGACGATTACTTGAATATAATGAAGAAACTTTTGGTAAATTTATGCGAGAAATTATTATAGAGCATGTGGATCGGGTCAAAGCTAATAAGAAATTACGATGCAAGGTTGAAGAGAAAAAGATAGAATTGCAAGAAGCTGAAAAATACCTTGAATATCTGAAATCTCGATCCAGTTAGATAGAAAGATCAAGGGGCTGGTCCCATCCCTTACGAAGATATAAAGCGTCTTCTTTTGCTCTAGTTAAATCGATAACAATAAATTCTCTACCTTGCAAATTTTTATCAAGTATATCAACAACAACGTTACGCCAATTCTTTGTATATCGTCTAGCAATATTAACAAGCTCATCAATGTCCTGAGCCATTAAGTAATCCAGTATAGCTGTCATTAAACTTTTTCGGATCTGGAATTTATCCAGAGTAAGTATCATCTTCATAATAAGGCTACACAAGATGTCACGAGTTTGATTTAAATAATAATGCATGATTACGTATTTGTTTAAGAGTAATCTCTTAAACTAATCATTAACATAAATAAACTAATCAGACCTCACTTAACAAAAAAAAAATTAAGAGTAATCTCTCTCTCTCTCTTTTACCACTTAAAAAATAATGTGTTGTATTTTCTTTTTTCCTCTTATATTTCTATTTACACTCGTTGCATTCCTTTTCATAATTGGCATAATTGGCGCGACTTCTATATTGATTCTGTTCGCTGGGTATATTCTTTAATGAATGGAATGAACACATATTTTTGTGAAAACCATATATATATTAATATTGAGTAATGTCTCGTTAGACTTTTCATTTTATTTAAAATAATGAAGGAACCAAATCCACCCGAAACGCTTCAAAGTCTCCTCAAATATGAATATGAGCACAGGCCTGGTCAGGCGCAAAGGTTTCTCGGTACAGTTCAAAATTTTCTTTATATACGTGAAAGCATAGTGGCAATACATGTAGTAAAGTTTTGATGTTTGTTTTATTTAACCTATCGTAGCTCGCATGGGAAAGAATTTCAGATGGCCCTCCTCCATGCCAGAATATCTCAGAAGACATTCCTTCAGAATAATCGCTGACATTGAGTTCGAATTTGATGACGAAGTCGGGTTTAACTTCATATTTTTCTACAACGCACTCGATAGAGGTGAATTTACGGGACATGAAAATGAGTGGGTGACGGTACACAACCAGAAGGTAGTAGAGTATGGAGAGGAGTATAGCAATGATCAATTGAACTACGTTCTCGAAACTATGCCTGGTGCCATCCAATACCCAGTTGATCAGACACATCTGCCACTACGTAGTAAGCCAGCGAAGATGGTGATTTCTCAGCGCGCTAATAGTGGAGATGATTACAAGGTTTGAATGCGTACTTAAGGAGAAGCGTTATCTTTTATAAGATTTAGTTTAGAATTTGTATAATTTTTCAAATTAATTTGATCTCTAAATAAAGATCAGGATTCGCATCAGAAGACCCAATGAAAATAATTTGATCGTTATTTTTTCGTATGATTTTTACGATACCATGAATAACAACAAAAAATATACGTGTGTGGTCGATACAGGGGCTCCGGAATCCATCTTGCCATTTCATGTTAAAAGGATACTTGGGAAGCAGGGATGGAGTACAAACCTAAGAAGAGCTGGGGTTATGGAGCACCTGTGGAACAAGTTTGTGCGTCTATGATGTTTGAGGTGTCTATTGGGGATGATCATAATTGGAGCAAGTGGGTTCAAGCCAAAATTTTACTCTGGGAAAATGATCCTGGTAATCAAGTTGGATATGCCCTTGTTGGTAATGATGTTACGGATAAATTAGCGTATGTTCATGAACCAGGGAATCCGTTAAAGTTTTTAGATATTGGAGATGAGACCAGACTCACTACATTTTTGAATACCTGTCATTAACCTTTAGTTAATGGAAGCCAAATTGATATTGAAACTTCGATAAGAATTTCATACATTATTAGATATAAAAAATATGTCTAACAACCCATGGTAACCTGATTGTTTATATAATCCCCAATTCTTTGAGTTTTCCGATATGTAGATTGTTATAATACCACATCTCAATTAAATAGATCCCATGCTTGCTGTTTGATAAAAATTATTGGGTCCTATGATATTCTCCCTATATTTTGAGAAAAAATTTTACTTAATTAATAAGCTGGTTGTTCCTATTCATCTATTTTTAATGGTGTGTCCCATCCCAATCTAATTGCGAGAGAATCATCCACTGGCTTAATAAAATCAAAGACCACAAAATCCCACTCCTTCAAATGCTTATCAATAATCTTGGATGCTCTTTTAGGATTATCTGTGTATTGATGTATGATTCTGCATATATCATCTCTAGATCCAGAGCCTCGGAATAAAGCTAAATATGATATATCTTCATGAATTATTTTAGGTGTTTGGGTATATTACTGACTTAAATAGGTGAAATATTTTGATGTCGACCACTAATAAGTCTGGAATGATCTGATCCTGAATTTTCTTTGATTCAGCACATAAATCCTCAAAAACAACAACTGTGCTTCATTCTGGAGAGAATTTAGTAATATCTGGAATCTTATCTGGAGATATCCTTTTAAATGTGACATCTTCTTGATATGGTTTAGGGGCATTTGCAAAGATCTGAAAGCTATTTTGTACAAGTTGCCATTTTGGCTCAAAATGTTTACCTATCAATACAAGGTCATCGTTTTTGATATTACGATTTCCTTTCTTACCTTTAAACATTCGTTGTAATTTGTTACCTAGCATAAGATTAATCACCATATTTGTTTTTCCACTATTGGAGCCTCCACATACCAGTAATCTAAATGGGGGGTCAGGTGAATACTTATTACCTTTCATTCGTCCTGAAGATTTGTTAGATGTCTCATCGATATTGTATACAAATATGGGCATTTTTTCTTCTTTCATCCTGAATAAACTAAGAATACTAATCTATTATATCGAAAAAATATTAATCGAATCAGATAAGCATTTAAAGTTTTGCTTCTATTCTATAAGACCCAATTCATGAAGAATATCTGGAATAAGTTTATATGGGTCTTTGTACATCAGGAAAACGTGTTTTTTGATACACATATTATATGTATATTATATGCGGATCACCTGTAATGTAAAATAATACACATATAATATACATATAATACGTGTATCAAAAAAAAACACATTTTCCTGATGCTAATTGATAATGTTGCCTCTTTCCTAAAAACATTAGAGAAAGATGATTCAAAAATATTAGAAAATAATAATGAAAATGACAAAAATTGTGAAGATGATAATGATGATTAAAGCTCCGAACGAGCCAGCTTGCATACAGAAAAGTGTTGGCTCGAGCCAGCTTGAAATTTGATACTATTTTTTTATAAAATCATGTTTTTGCAAATCACCGAAAATAATTGGTAACTAAAAAATTCTGAAAATTTTAAAAAATTCAAATGAGAGATTCATGTTTTAACAATATTTGTACTTCTAATAAAAAACATTTTTAGGTTCTGACATATATGCATACAGTCAAAAAAACCTTTGTTTTAACAAATTATAATTAAAGCGAATCATAATTAAATTCGCATCACAATGAATCATAATTAAACTCACGTTCAACAAGTTTAAAAGCTTGTATACATCGCAGTTATTTGCGGAGAATTAAAACGAAATGCAAAATGTTTAA